TTAATGATGAATGTGGAATTCAAAGTCAGCCTGATTTTAGAGTTTATTTCTGTTACACCAAGCTGTTGCTCTAAGAAGTACCATCAGCTCAGGCAGCAGCTTTGATGTTTCAGGTGCTTTCTACAGTCCAGTTTTTACCTAGGTTTAATGTTTCACTCTTCCTAATTTCAGGTTATAATCATTAACTAAAGGACCAGTGAAAGGAGATGTATCACTAAAATAGAGATGGATTTTCAGTTTATAAGCCTTTCATTAGAAATATTTCGCACAGTTAGTATTTGAATTGCTTGAGGAAATACTGCGAATTTCTACATCAGATTATATTTCAGCAAGAATCATACAGATTAACATTGTAGCCTTAGTTTGGTGCTGAGTGTAAGATATTGTAAATTTCCTGTTTGACCTGAAAGTCCTTTTCCAGTATAAATTACATTTAGATTAGAAAGTTAACGTGTTATGTTACATGAAGAATTTTACAAGTGGAGGGGACATCAGTAGTCGGCCTAACCTTTGTTGAAGTTGTGATGTTCCTTATCTACTACTTGTATAATGCTGCCTCCTTTTTAAATGTCCCAGAGATATCATTGTTTTCATTGTACTACTGTAAATGAATAAAATTTAGGAGTTTGCATTGTATGTTTAGCAGCATATTCTGTTGTTTTTGTACATTTTGAAAATAGCTGTAAGTCCTTTATCTTCCATTTCCTTCCAAATTTTGTCCTGTCACTGCTGCTTTCTGATTAAGTGCTGCTTCCTTTTTCACCCCCTTTATTCTTAATTCCATCTTGGTCTTCTCCCTGTATTTTCTCTTTCCTCTGGCTTCCAAATCTGGAAAATTGAGCTTTTATTTTTCTTTGGTCAATTTGACAAATTAACATAGTGTTATAATGATGGTAATTCAATTAGAGTTTAATGAGACCTCACCTGAGTTATTTCTCTACAAAATATCCAAGTGATTCTCATTTCTCCTTAAAATTTCTGTAAAAATAGAACTCACTATCTGATTGGGTGGCCTATTCCAAGTTTGGACTACTCATATAAGTTTTCTCATATTGAACAGAAATCTGCCTCTTACTAAACTTAATTAGTCCTGTCTTTTGGAGCCATTCATGTCATATTCTTTCAATCTTGATGACAGTTTGTAGTTTCCTCATCATTTTTGCTTGCTTTCCTGGATATAATCTCCAGTTTAAAAATTCCTGTCTTGACACATTTTTAGAGGAACAGTATACTCTAGATTTGGTCTCATTAGCATGGTGTGGAACTGAATTATTTTCTTTAGTTTCTAATTTTATTAATGTCTTGGAATCATGTTAATCCTTTTCAGTAGGCATATCACCGTATTGAGGCAGAAAAGATGTAGCATGATGTTAGTACAGGTGGGATTATCTAGTTGGAATTGCATCTTCATAAGTTAGCTGTGGTTTTAAACACATTTCATTACATTGCTGGTCCCCATTGTCTTTACAAAATAGGATAATTGTAGTTTCTGACTCACAGGTAAAGTTATAGAAGGATTAAATTAAAAATCCAAGGGCCGGCCGAGTGGCTCAGTTGGTTAAGAGCTCACTCAAGAGTTTGAGCTCTGAGCAACAGCGGTTCGAGTCCAGCCTGAGCTGAGCAGCTGCTGAGCTGCCAACAGGTAGCAGGATGGCTCAGCTTTAAAAAAAAAAAAAAAATCCATATAATGTGCTTAATTTAAGTGTCAAATGTCATGTTTATTATTTAAATAATGTTATGATTTTTCTCAGTTGTTGATAGCGTAACAAACCAATCAAAACTTAGTGACTTGACACCCATGATTTAGTCTTTCTTGGGATTCGGTGGCTTGTCTGGACTCTGTTGGGTAGTTCTTCACATAGTATTAGCTGGGGTCACTTGTTGCTCTGTGTTCGGCTGAGGCTGAAATATCCCAATGGCTTCACTTAACATCTCCCATGACTTGGGCTAGCTTCGCCTCTTTTTCCAGCAGGGTAGTTTGACTTTTTACATGCTAGTTCAGGGCTCCAAGAGAGCAAAAGGTGAAGCTGCGAGTCCTCTTCAGGATTAGGCCCAGAACTGGAACAGCAGTCATTTCCACCACATTGTGTTGGTCAAAACTAGGGGAAAGGAACTAAATTCTACCTCTTAACAGGAGAAGCAGTGGCATACGTGAACAGGACTAGCAGGGGAATTTGTGGAGGCCATCTTTGGAGACAGTCTACCACAGTTCTTTCATAGTTAGCTTCCTGAACCAAAGGGTCAGCCCTTTAAATTTAATCTTTCATCCAGTGTTTCTTGCTTTTTATTTTTTTAAATCTTAATGGTTCTTAGCTTTATGTCACTGGAAAGTAGACAGAAGTATACACATTTACCCTTTCTCTACATTTATTTTTGAACAGCTTTATTGAGGTATAATTGACAAAGAAAGGCTTATACTTAATGTGTACAATTTGATGAGTTTGTGTTCTCAACTTACTCTAGTCAGCATTTCACCAGAAATATTTGCACAGTTGATACTTGTTTCTTTTGGTCCATCATTAGGCCAATAAGCAGCCTGACTACTGTTATCTCACCGTCCTGTTACATAGCTTTAAAGTTATTTTTGTTGTTAATGTTTTAATCAGAAGTAATAGCTAATTCATTGTTCACCTTGGGAGAAGAAGTACTTAACTGCTATTTAAAAAATTCTGTGTGAATTACCTCAGTGTAAACAATGTTTTTAGGGATACAGAAATTACTCATAAAAGATGGATTACTAATTCTCGTAACATTTTTTGACAGCTTGCCTAAATAACTTCTACACATTTTCTGATGTATACTTCAAAGTTTTATCTTAAGTGATTCACCCTTAACTAACTTGACATGTTTATGTCTTTACATATATAGAGGATACATTGCAGAGTGAAGGGCATGACTAGGCAGTGTTATCCTTAGTTTCTGTTGTTTTCCCTACTAGACCAATTATCCACAAACTTAGAGACTGCCTTGCTCACCATTATATTCTGTGTCTAGCACAGTGGCATTTAAGTATTGGAGAATAAGTGAACGTAAAAATATGTTGAAGCTGTAAAATATGAAATAGGAATGCCTAAGAAGGGAATTGATTTCATGGCTGGGCTTAGTTATTGTCACTTGTTTGAAAATGTTCTTAGTATAATCTTAGATATATGTAAATGAGCCAGTTCACAATTTAATTGTATACGAAGCCTTCTTTAAATTTAGAAATTTCCTCCCGTTATTTAATTGGAAGTTATTTGTGAATTCTGGTTAATCATATACACTATTTCTTTATTTAGACTTCATAGTTGAATCTTTAGCCGAGCCAATCAGAAATAGAAATTACCTTTAAAAGTGTGGAGTTGGCCGCAGTTTAAACCTAGACCAACTTCAAAGCCACTGTGCTATACCATCTCACATAGTGGAATGAATAATGTATTTTGTATTAAGATATAAAACCTGAAAAGACCTCTGTCATTTGTTTCTTAAGTGAAAAAACATCCACTTATACTATATTAAATGGAGCTATCTTCTGTTTGAGGCAGATCCCCCAAAGAGCAGCCAGAGTGTTCGTGCCCCAAAAAGCATGTTGCTCAAACGTCCGAACACTTGCAGCTGAGATCTCTTTGAGTATGAAGCTGTGGGTGTGGTGTAGTAAAGATTTTGTTATCTTAATCAAAGTGCTCTTCTGATATCAGGCCAGTAGTTTTAAATATTATTTAATAATCTCAGGAGACATCATTTCAGGTTGACTTGACTGTCATCTCCAGTCCCTTTTTATATACAGTGTAGCATAGCCCTACTGCCAACTTGGCCCCACTCCCTAATTCACCTGGGCTCGTCTTGAGGTTATTTTCTACAAAGGAGGGAGAAGCTGGGTTAAAATTTATTCATCCACCCACCATTGCAACATAACGGGGTAAACATACAAAGGGTTATTTAAAAGCATTTTTCAAATTATTTTACATATAAGTAGGTGCTGTATAGATTGCAAACTACTGAATGACTGACTGCAAGAAGAATAGAAACCAAGAATTAGATACTCTTTTTCTTTGTAAAAATGACTTGTTTGGGGCTAAGCCCAGTTGAAAATTCACTTTCATCTTGATTCCTAGATTATGTTTAGTAAGAGGAAAGGGGGGGGGGGGTGAGAGTTCTTTAAAAAAAAAAAAGTTTGCCTAATTCTACTACTGGAAATACCTTTTTTTCTCCTTAAAAGGGAAGGGGATCGCTAGTTTATTGTTCCTTCTCCCTCCTAATTTGATGATATCATGTTTTTGCTTTAAATCAATTGTAGGATATAATTATTAGCATGTTAGGATTTAAATCAGTTTAGATTATTATAGTGTTAAAATTATATAGGATGAAGTTTTATCTGTTGTCTTGTGATCTGTAAAACATGTAACTTACTAGCTAAAAATCATTTTAATGAAATCAAAGGTTTACTCTTCGGATCTGTAATTCTCATAATTCTACCACTGTCTTAACTTAGTTAGGAAAAATAAAACTTACTTTGAACAGCCTTTTACCTGTTGTGAGGTATTACTTGACTTGTGTTCTCATAAGTGAAGTTAATTTTGTTCTGTTTTCCTCTGTAATGGACTCTGTAGTGTCTATGACATTATTGGTTTCTGCTTAAGTTCTATTTCTCCAGAGTCCCAAAAGGTTCATCTCTTTATGTTCTTTCCATTCTAATATGACTACCTTGAAAAATGGAAAATTTGCCAACTTGTTAGAAAATGTTATTGGCATGTAAATAGATAGCACTGTAGGGGAGGAGATATTCAAATGTATAAACCTTAAATAATAAACGTAATAACTTCAAATTTTTAGTATTGCAATTTAAAGCATTCTGATTTTAAACCACAAATTCATGAGCTTACTGCATTCAACAATTGTATTATTGGCAATGACTGGGTATAAAATTTTATAACTTAGGCTACAGTATGCTCCTTAAGAAATGCAGAGGCTTTCAGTTTTGTAAATATTTTATTCTTATGACTGTTTCTTTTCTTCCCAAGTCTCTCTTGGAAAAATTCTTGATCCCCAATGCTTCACAAGCAGAGAGCAAAGTCTTCTATTTGAAAATGAAAGGAGACTATTACCGTTACTTGGCTGAGGTTGCTGCTGGTGATGACAAGAAAGGTATGCTGTTTTTCTTCAACCTGTTTGTTTAACTTGTATAAAATAACATAGTATGGAAGTGGTCTCTTTCTGAAGGGTAAAGCAGTTTTTCTGTTGTTTTGAATTGCTTAGAGCACTAAAGGAAGAGCAGTAATGCACTTTTTCCTCTTTTTTTAGTCTTGAGAATATATTGGGTTGTCGGAAAAGTCATGATGTTATTTTTTCTATGCTTTTCGTTGGCAAAAATTCATCATGACTTTTCCGACAACCCAATAATATATCTACTACCTAATGTTGGTATTCTAAAATGTATGCTTGCTGAAAAGCCAGTTTTGTGCATAGGAATGTTTCCTCATAATTTTAAGAAATAGTAGTCACAGAGTAACTGTAGAGCATGCAAACTAATAAAATATAATAATACTGCGACGATTACAGAGTTATTTCTGTCTTAACATTGACCAATATCTAGTGTGGTATTCCAGGAGAAGCTTACTTTTTTAAATTTAAGAACTTTGTTCAATTAAGATAGAGGATATCATTGGTTATTAATGGTTTGGCCTGAGGGTTGAAGATGAAGTGCATATTTTACCAGTACATTTGGTGTGTTTTATTATCCAGGGATTGTGGATCAGTCACAACAAGCATACCAAGAAGCTTTTGAAATCAGCAAAAAGGAAATGCAACCAACACATCCTATCAGATTGGGTCTGGCCCTTAACTTCTCTGTGTTCTATTACGAGATTCTGAACTCCCCTGAGAAAGCCTGCTCTCTTGCAAAGACAGTATGTATTTTACCTGTTATATAGAAATATAGTTATCCTTATTATTTGAGCACTGAAATGTACTATTTCTTTAATCATAGGCTTTTGATGAAGCCATTGCTGAACTTGATACATTAAGTGAAGAGTCATACAAAGACAGCACGCTAATAATGCAATTACTGAGAGACAACTTGACAGTAAGTACATAACTGTGTCAGTGGTTCATGTGGTTGACTAGATGATTATGTTTTATAGATTACTACAAGGGATACTTCTGGTCTTTTTTTTAATTTAAATCAAATATGAGGTCCAATCTAATGTTAAAACTGAAGAAAACTACCTTACACTAACTGAAATATTAGACCAAAGACTAAAAATGTACGCTTTCATTAGCTACAGATTTGTTAAAATTTTAATTTTTAAAATAATTTCGTAATCCATGCTTTTTTGCCTTTTAATCACATAGACTCTTTTATTTTCCATTTCAATCTGGGTGATTCCATTTTTTTCCATTTTAGTCACAGAAGAGTGTTTTTTAGTATCAAAAGTATGTATACTGAAGTTCTCTTTAAATTTCATTAAACTATTTTTTTTTTACCATAAAGTTGCTATCATATTTATACAGTTATGGTAGGGGAGGGTGTTAATAACTTCAGTTACAAAATTTCAGATAATCGACAGAATCCAAATAGAAATCTGTTTTTAAAAAGTGATTTATTATGTATGGAAGGTCATGATTGTTCTTGGTATACTCCAGACTAAAAAAAAAACCACCACATTGCCAATATCACCAAAGATATTTAACTTAATAATGTTAAATATCTCAATAGTGTTCAAATTCCAGTTGTCTTTTAAATTTTTCCCTTTTTTTTTAACAGTTTCTTATTTGAATTATCCAAATAAAGTCTACACATTGGAATTTGTTGTATGTCTCTCTGGTCCCTTAGGTTTTCCCATACTTCTCCTTCAGATAAATATTAAATTTGAAGTTTTGAGGCTTGGGTGAAAAAATTATCAGGTATCTGCTAAGTGCCAAGTAAAGAGCTAGGAATGAGGATTATAATCTGGTTGTGCTACTGGTTTTTGTTAGCTTTAGGGCCATTACTCTTGGGGACTGTATATCATTTTATACATTTCACTTTTTGTAGCTTCTTTCTAGTCCATTGCCAATTTCCTGAACCAGTTCTACATTCTAGCATTGAATATTCTCAGCAAACAGTATTATGTACTAGTTTTTTATTAAACACTTAAAATTATTTTAGAAAATGTAATTAGGGGGCTACCTAAAAACTTGTGAGATTTTTATTAAATGTGTGAGTAATATTTTCATGATGCATTGCCAACAAAATGACTTACTTAAATATTATATATATCATTTAAAAATGATGTCCTAAAAGGACTCCTGGATTAAGAGTCTTGAAACCTGCTCAGCCAACTAGCTATATTGTCTAAGACAAATTGTGGCACTGTTCTGGGTGTTTTTATTTTTCAATTATTGTTGACATACAATATTATATTAGTTTCAGGCATACTACATAGTGATTAGACATTATATAACTTACAAAGTAATCACCCAATAAGCCCTAGTATCTATCTGACACCATACACTGTGAGATTTTTATTTTAATCAAGAGAATAAGCCATAGTTTCTTAAAGAGTGAATCTTTGTATCTATATCAAATGAAAGAAGCACTTCAGTTTGATAGTTAATTTTAATCTAAAGAATTCTTTATATTTTTCCTGGGTTGAACTACTGAGATAGTTGTCGTTCTAAAGAGTTTCTACAAGAAAGAATATCTTGTATCAAATTTTTTATGTGTATATGGAAAGTTCAAGAAGCCTTGACAGAACTGGAAAGAGATGAGATGTTAGAAGGTAATCTCATCTTGTCTTATAAAAACTCCCTGTTTAACAGGAGCACACAGACTTCCAGAAGTCATTTAGCTAACTATGACCTTGGAAGAAGTCTCCTTTCCAGGCCAGAGATATATTTGGTTCATAAATAAATAAAACTAATGGGTGATTTGGGAGATAGAAAAACATTGAGATTTTTTTCCCACCTAATTTTTCAGTGTAGAAGCAATATAAAATATGAGTATCTTGATTCAATTCTTTTCTAATTACCTCTAAAATTATTATAGAGTGGTAAGACTTGTAATAAATGTTAATATTTGAGGTATCTGAAATGATTTTGAATTCATTTTTTTTCACCTGGAAAACTTAATGAAAAAAATTAATAGAATCCATAGTTATAGCACTATGGAACAATTCATTTTTACCTGTTATAAGATTTGGTTCTGACCATAAGGCTTTGTGTTTATCTATTTTGAATTAGACAAATTCACAAAGGTATGTTTTTTAAGCTAAAAACATTTGAAAAACTCAATTTGTATTTTAGTTCAGTTATCCTGGCTCTTGAATTTCATGGTTTCATGGAGTGTGGGTTTCTTTTTGGAGTAAGTGTAAGTTTTACCAAGGGAAAGTAGTCAACCTGAGCTTGAGCATAGACCAAATCAGGTGATTCTGGTTTAGTCACACTAAATTTGCACATCATTTCTCATTGGGGCTATTCAGGACAATCTAATAGCTATTGATACTTAGCACTTCTATGAGTTCTTCTACTTTCTCTTTAATTTCTATGAATAACCAAGAGTTTCCTGTATCTGACTTCGTTATTTGAAGACGTCTCTGCTATGTACTTAAAGTTCTTACAAAATTATTAGAAAAGAAATGTATTTTATTGATGTGTGTGATATCTTGAAATTAAGATCTTCAGTGCTGCTACTTTTTTAAGAAAGCCTATCAACGAAAACTATGATTGCATTCTCGTACCTTTGTATGTTTATTAAGACATTTTTCAAACTGAAACATGCTGAAAAATCTTCCCTTCTTTTACCAGTTGTGGACATCGGATACCCAAGGAGATGAAGCTGAAGCAGGAGAAGGAGGGGAAAATTAACCTGCCTTCCAACTTTTGTCTGCCTCATTCTAAAATTTACACAGTAGACCATTTGTCATCCATGCTGTCCCACAAATAGTTTTTTGTTTACGGTTTATGACAGGTTTATGTTACTTCTATTGAATTTCTATATTTCCCATGTGGTTTTTATGTTTAATATTAGGGGAGTAGAGCCAGTTAACATTTAGGGAGTTACCTGTTTTCATCCTGAGGTGGCCAATATGGGGATGTGGAATTTTTATACAAGTTATAAATGTTTGGCATAGTACTTTTGGTACATTGTGGCTTCACAAGGGCCAGTGTTAAAACTGCTTCCATGTCTAAGCAAAGAAAACTGCCTACATATTGGTTTGTCCTGGTGTGGAACAAAAGGGATAATTGGTTCCAGTCATAGGTGTAGTTATTGTGGGTACTTTAAGGTTTGGAGCACTTACAAGGCTGTAGTAGAGATGGCTATCCCATGGATGGCACATGTTGAATGTGTCTGTGGAACACTCAGTCCATTGTGCACACCTTTGACTACAGCTGCAGAAGTGTCCTTTAGTCATGACCCAATTTACTCTGGAGAAGGGCAGAAACGGTTCACATTCCATTATTTGTAAAGTTACCTGCTGTTTGCTTTCATTATTTTTGCTACACTCATTTTATTTGTATTTAAAAATGTTTTAGGCAACCTAAGAACAAATGTACAAGTAAAGATGCAGTAAAACGAATTGCTTGATATTCATTGCTTCATGTATATCAAGCACAGCAGTAAAACAAAAAAACCCATGTATTTAACTTTTTTTAGGTTTTTTTTTTTGCTTTTGTGATTTTTTTTTTTTTGATACTTGCCTAACATGCATGTGCTGTAAAAATAGTTAACAGGGAAATAACTTGAGATGATGGCTAGCTTTGTTTAATGTCTTATGAAATTTTCATGAACAATCTAAGTATAATTGTTAAGAACACGTGTATTAAGTTCATGTAAGTGGAATAAAAGTTTTATGAATGGACTTTTCAACTACTTTCTCTATAGCTTTTCATGTAAATTAATCTTTTGGTTCTGAAACTTCTCTAAAGGAAATTGTACATTTTTGGAAATTTATTCCTTATTCCCTCTTGGCAGCTAATGGGCTTTTACCAAGTTTAAATACAAAGTTTATCATAAAATACTACTACTATAACTACTACTGTTCCCAACCATGTCCCATACTTCCCACTTACCCCCTCCCCAGACCCTGAAAAAGTATTTTCTTTTTTTTCTGAGGTGGGGGGATTGATTGGAAAAAAGTAATGTGTTCCATTTAAAATTTTAGTAATGGCATTTTCTAACTTCAGAAGCCACAATGTTCTTGGCCCATCATAGCATTGGGTAGCAGTAACTGTAAGTTTTGTGCTTCCAAATCACTTTTGTTTTTAAGAATTTCTTGATACTCTTATAGCCTGCCTTCAACTTTGATCGTTTACTCTTTCTATTTGTCAGGTGCACAGGATTACCTTTTTTAGCCTTCTGTCTTGTCACCAGCCATTTGTACTTGGTGGCCATGTACTTGGGGAAAAAAGGCCGCATGATCTTTCTGGCTCCACTCAATGTCTAAGGGATATCCTGCTTCCTTTGCTTGCATCCCACAAACTATTTTCCTTCATCCTATTTACCGCAGCAATTCTCCTTAGTTGATGAGATTGTTATCTCCCTTTAAACCCTACCTATCCTGACTGGTCTGTCATTGTCTGCCTTTAAAATCCTTCCTCTTTCTCTCTCTAAATAATGATGGGGCTAAGTTATACCCAAAGCTCACCCTATAGACTTATTTCCTCAGTACCTTGCAGAAAACACCAAACAAAAATACCATTTTAAAAGAGGTGTATTTTTTTCTTTTAGAATGTAAGCTCCTCAAGAGCAGGGACAATGTTGTATGTTCTATTGTGCCTAGTACACTGTAAATGCTCAATAAATATTGATGATGGGAGGCAGTGAGTCTTGATGATAAGGGTGAGACACCGAAATCCCAAATATTGTTTTGTTGCTTGTTTTATTATGACCTCAGATTACTTGGGAATTATCAGCCCTTAGGGACAATTATCTCAAATATTACACTCAAATAAAAGTGCACTGGAGGCCGTGGGGTCCTTTCAAGGAGAAAAGATCTCATGCATTTGGGACATCATAGTGCATTTCACTCACAACTCTTTTATTATTGTTGTTATTTCTCTTGACTCCTGGGCCAAGAACATAAAATAATCATTTTATAGTTAAGGAGAATTAGCTAGACTCAGGAGATGGATCTCATTCAAGTAAATTATGAGTAAAATTTAAAGCTTGTCACATTTGCCTATTTGTGCATCAATCATTTAAACTAGTTTGATTCTGAAATAATTGTGATAATATTTCATTAATATCAGCTGTTAATGTTTCTACATAGTGCCCAATAGATGAAGATTCCAACCTGAGATTTTTTTTTTTTTTGCCCTGGCATTTGAATAATAAAAATTTTTATAATTTATTTCTTTGTCCCAAATCCAGGCTTCATATCTGTTTTTGTCAATATAACATGTAGGAATTTGGAGAATTCAACAGTGTATTTTGTGTGTATGTAATATTGGAATTAAGAAATACATATGTGTGCCCACTTTAGACTTGTCCGTTTAGAGTAGAGTAGCAGTGTGATTAGTTAAAAATGTGAACTTTGCTGCAACTCTGGCTTATGGTCCTGGCTTTTTTTTTTTAAATGTCTCAGTTTGTGGTATAAAGATCATGGAAATAGTGGGGGTGGGGTGCTTATAAGAGGATTAAAAGAATGTATGTCTGTCTAGTGGCTTAACTACAGGGCCTCAATTTTTTTTCCTTCATGCCTTCCCCACAAAACAGTCCTCAATCCTGCTGTTCCCTCAAAGCATATGTTAAACTAGTCAAGGCCAATTTGGAATCTGCAATCTTAGATTATTTGTGGTCAGACCTCAATTTGAGAATGAAACCTTGATTGAATAATTTGGGAACGATCAATGGTGAAATATTTAAAAATCTTCCATAGACTGAATGCAGGTGCGAGAATCTTGGAGACTTCCCAGTGGTGGAAGCATCTTTAAATGGTTTATATCAACCCACATGAGGGCAGAAGGATGCTTTATGTGGATGCAAGTATGTATCAGTCACTGCTTGAGAGCCTACAAAGTTAGGAACTTTCTAACTCATGCTTGTGTGCTCAGAGCTAGCCTTTTAACATTTCCTGTATTGGAACGTCAAAATTTACATTTATTATGTTTTGTCATAAACTACATAGGAAATTATAGTGGTAGAATTGAAGTATCTACTGTTCAGGCAGTGGCTAAGACTGGGCACTTGGGAAATAGCTAGACTTGGATTCTTGATTCAATGTGAAATTACATCAATGATACTTCTGTGACTTGTAACAGGTTACAATCTGATTAACTAGCTCTCCTTTTAAAAGACTAAGACCTAAAAGATTGCTGGGTCTAGGGAGATTTTTTTAAACTTCACAACAGGCCTCTAAGGAAGCCAGTACTCTTGGATGATAAAATGACATTTGAGAACCCATTATAGATCTCGCTTTTAAAAACCTGAAAAACGGCTGGCCAAGGTGCTCAGTTGGTTAAAACTATAATGCAATGAACAAATGTAAGATGCTAGATGTTTTTGCTTAGTTTCCTAGCAAAAGCTCCCCTTTAAAAAGTTCAGCCTGAATTAAGGGTAAAAGGATTTCCACATCATGATATCAGCAGATAACATTATTTCTACCCTGCAGGTCAGGGGTGATGATGGGAGCAACCCATTCTCTCCTTTTTCCTTTCCATTCACACCGCCTCCATTCTTAATTCTGGCTCTAACAAACCTTATACATAAAGTTTTCCATTGCCTTCCTAACTGGTCTCAGTCTCATTCTCTCCTCTGTCACCTCCATCCATGCTTTTCACTTCCAAGCTAAAAAATTTTTTTAGTGGCTCCACTGGTCCAAGCATGACTTTTTACTGAGCATACTATAATAAACTAACCATTCTCCATTTCCACTTTTACCACTGTGCAATTCATTTCTTCACACAGGAAAAAAAAAATCTTTCAAAAACAAAGCATTTCATGTCATTCCCCTGCTTTAAGTAAGTCAATGGCAACCCAATGCATTTAAAATAACATTCAATGGGCCGGCCAAGTGGCTCAGTTGGTAAGAACTTGCTCAAGAGTGTGAGCTCTGAACAGCAGGGCCGCCAGTTCAATTCCCACATGGGCCAGTGAACTGCACCTGAGCTGAGCTGCCAAAAGGTGGCAGGATGTCTCAGCTGGTGAGAGCACGTGCTCCTAACAAGGTTGGTTGCCAGTTTAACTCCTGCATGGGATGGTGGGCTACGCCCATCTGCAACTAAGATTGAACACAGCACCTTAGGCTGAGCTGCCCTGAGCTACTGAAGGGTGGCCAGATGGCCCAGTGGTTAGAGCATGCACTCTTAACAAGGTTTCTGGTTGACTCCTGCATGGGAAGGTGGGCTGCACCCCTGTAACTAAGATTGAACACGGTACCTTGAGCTGAGCAGCCGCGAGCTTCCTGCCAGTGGATGACCGGATGGCAACTGGACTTGGAGCTGAGCTACCCAGCTAAGACTGAAGGACAACTTGGCTGTTCCCCTTCCCCAATTCCCCAATAAAATCTTTAAACTCCCCCCTCCCCCGAAAACTGACCTTAAAAATGTCACACGTACATCCAAATCTGAATGCTACTCACCTGGATGCTGTGAACTACTTTATATGAATGTCAACCCCATGTATTTCAGAACTTGGAAGTTAACTGCAATAGCAAAACCCTTGATGATTGGCCGAAGATTTGAAAGATATGCACCTGCCCTGTATTACGACCATAGTTACCCAGTTTATAAGAACGTCTAACCATCATGCTGGACAAGCAAGTGTTTTAGAGCAGAGACCCAAGTTAAGAGAATGCTTAAATAGCACAGCTATTTATTACTGACCCTAGGTGATCCCATTGACTCAGTTGATTACCTTTTTTGTATTTGAGTCCATTCCATGAAATTTCTGCAAGCCCACACTTCACTAGTCTAATGTTAAAGGTGTCAGTATTAAGTCTATTTCCAATTCCAGAACTTAGAAACCTAGCAGTGTTTTCAGTAGGTGTTTACATGTTTTGTTGGATGTTGGTTTAACCAGCCACTGTTAAGGGCTTCTCAGAAGACTTGAGTCAAGATTTGCAGAATGAATGGGATCCAGATGGAGCTTACAGCATGTACAAAGGCATCAAGATAAAAGAACTTAAAAGAACTTCCATGCACTTACAAGTGAGGAGCTCTGAGAGTGTAGGGGAAAGGTTATTTTCTGCTTTCTAAGTCACTTAGGCTTATGTCTTTCACTTCAAATGTTTTTGATCACCTGAGAGGAACTTGTTTAAAATGCCTATTCCCAGCACCCAGTCTCAAGGATACCAATTTCTTAGGTTGGAGCCCAAGAAAAAAAACAGCAAAACTCCCATGGGCTGTAAGATTCAGTGTCCGTACTATGAAGTCTGTAGGGGCAGGGGGAACACACACTACTTGGGGAAAACAAGGGCGTGTTAAGACCATTTCAAGCCAAAACGCTATTTCTAAACTACAGTCTGCAAAATGAGGTTTGTGAATCTGCTCAGCAGATTGTTTCCAAGCAAGAAGTAAGGAAAAAGGTTACCCATTAAAACAGGTTTTTCACATTAATGACCCTGGTTTAGTTTAGGAGCAGGTACCATATAGAACTTTCACTGTGTCAAGGAGAAAAGTAACACATACTTAAGGATTTTGTGGGTTTTTAAAAAGCGAATGCCACCTTTTTTGCTTTGCTTAACTCATGCCATGCACAAAAATCCAGAGGAATGAAGGAGTTAAACTTCAGAATGGTCATAAGATGTGGGTTAATAATTTGCTGACCTTGAAGTTGGTAAGGAAAGATCTCTTAAAATGGACACAGCATACCTAGAAAAAGTAAATTCAGAATCTTAATTTATGAACCTTAATATAAATTTAGCTACATAAAAATTTAAATGAAAAGCAACAAGACAGTATGTAACTGTCAAAATTACAAGAAAAGGAGAAAAGACTTTGAACAGGTATTTTCGTAGAGCAGGAAGTATGTGACACATACATAAATATACAAAGAGAGGCTTAACGAGGGGAATGCAAACAGACCACAATTTGATACCACCGTTTCACCCCACTGATGAGTAGTATAATTTGAAAGTTGTCATACCAAACGTTGGAGATGATGTGGACTGAGATCTCTTGCACATAGCTGATGGGAGTTTAAATTAGTATATCCCTTTGGAAAACTATTTAGCATTAACTTGTAAAGTTGATTATTTACATCCCTGTAGATGAGCAATTCTCTCCTGGGTATATCTCCTAGAACACCTGCACATGTGCACCAGGATATCAGAAAAAAGCATACACAGCTGCACTGTTTGAATTAGCAAAAAACAAGATAATCCAAATGTCCATTGAAAGGAAAAATGGATAGACGTATTTACCCAATGACAGCCTTCATGAAAATTACAGCCCATTTGGTAACGGGTGAATTTTAATAAGTGAAAAAACAGTCCCAGTAGACTACATAATACAGTATGATATTTTTACCAAGTTTAAAAATGAACAAATGTTTTGCTTAGGCAAAGGTGATAAAACTTTCCTCTACCAAGGATAATAACGACAAATCACAATTATTTAGAATAGAGGTTTTCTATGGAGAAGAAGCAGGGGGACAGGCTAGGGCAGGAAGACATAAATGTAGGTTACTACGAATATCTAGGAGTGGGGTGGTGTATTCACAAATATTCATTAGAGATTCATTCAAGAAGAGGAATGAAACAAGGCTTATGATTAATCCAATCCTGCACATTAGAGTCACAGAAACTAAATGAAAGTACAGTGGGCCAATAAATTCATTAGTCAAAAGCTTGCTTAAATGGTAGAAGATTGGCAGAAAAAATAAAAATAGTCACTGAGTTTGTTTGATGAAACTAAGCATGC